GCACTTCGGGAGGCCAAGGTGGGTGGATCACCTGAGGTCAGGAGTTCGAGACCAGCCTACCCGACATGATGAAACACCATCTCAACTAAAAACACAAAAATTAGCTGGGCATGGTGGCACACGCCTGTAGTCCCAGCTACTCCAGAGGCTGAGGCAGGAGAATTGCTTGAACCTGGGGGCTGGAGGTTGCAGTGAGCCAAGATCGTGTCACTGCATAAATGTCCGTGCTCTCTGCCTCAGCTTCATCTCTGCAAAATGGCGGTAACACCTCCGGCCTCTCAGGCTGTAGGGAAGACAGTGGACCCAACACACAGGCACAGCTGTCACAAGTAACTGCTCAGTTAAAGGTCACCCATGACAATGTTGTGCCCAAGGTCTTAACACTACCTAGAGCCAGGACCAAGCCCCCTGGAGTCTAGAACTCTCTATACTCAGCACAACATTCTCCACGCCCTGCCTTTTTAGGAAGTTGATTCATGAATTCAAAAACAGCCCAGCTCAGATGGTCACACTCCCCTACCCCTTCCCCTCTCTCAGGCCCAGCCCCTGGACACTGACCACTCCCCATGCTGCTCCTCCTCCTCCCCACCCCCTGGCCCCATGGTGGGGAAGGCAGGGCAGTTCCCTGGCATCCTGCTGGCTCCTAAGTGTCAGTTGAGTGATTTCAGCTTTTGTTTTTGTTTTTGTTTTGAGACGGAGTTTCGCTCTTGTTACCCAGGCTGGAGTGCAATGGCACGATCTCGGCTCACCGCAACCTCCGCCTTCTGGATTCAAGCAATTCTCCTGACTCAGCCTCCCGAGTAGCTGGGACTACAGGCACGCGCCACCATGCCCAGCTAATTTTTGTATTTTTAGTAGAGACGGGTTTTCACCTTGTTGACCAGGATGGTCTCGATCTCTTGACCTCGTGATCCACCCACCTCGGCCTCCCAAAGTGCTGGGATTATAGGCGTGAGCCACCGTGCCCGGCCTTGGTTGAGTGATTTCATGAATGAGCAACCACCCCAGCTGATTACTCTGAAGGTTCAATTTTGATTTTTTAATTTATGTGTCTCACGGTATTGCCAGCAACAAACAAAAGCCTGATTTATAGATTAAAAGACAAATCTTCTCAGGCTTAATAAATATTGACTCATGAATATAAGATAAATATCACTTCATAAAGATCACTGTCTAAACAGCAAGAGGTTGGACATATACCCTGGAGATGAAAGCTCACTCCATGCCTTGAAAAAGTAGGTCATTCTGAAGGAATAGTAGAGCAGAAACTCTTTAACATGGGAAGAGGTTTGTAATAAATTGGTGACAAACACTATGCATACTAGGGCCCCTTCAAGTAAGGAAAGATTGACCCCAAATCCTTTGCAGTGCATTTGAGCGCAGAGAGTCATGTGGGTGTTTTATCTTTTAATTGATCTGTATTTCCTACAATGAGCAAACAATAGTACTTTGAAATCAAAATTCACTTTATTTAAATAAAGTAAAGCGAGGTGTATTGGCTCCTGCCTATCATCCCGTTATTCGAGAGGCTGAGGCAGGAGGATCTCTTAGGGCCAGAAGTTTGAGACCTACCTCGGCAACATAGCAAGACCCCATCTCTACAAAATGACAACAAAAAGTTAGCTAGACATAGCGGCAGGCACCTGTGGTCCCGACTACTCGGGACGCTGAGACGGGAGGATCACTTGAGCCCAGGAGGTCAAGGCTGCAGTGAGCTATGATTGTGCCACTGTACTCCAGCCTGGGCAACAGAGTGAGGCCCCATCTATAAAAATTAAAAATACAGCGTTTAAAAATAAAGCCAAAAGAAACCTCCTAATCTTTTATGACTGTGTGGCAAGCTATCGACTCCTTCTCAGAAGAATGTTTTTAAATGCATTAAAGAAAACACAAGGTGGGGAGAGTTCCGAAGGAGACCAATGATACTAAAACATACAGAATTATCAAGACGGTCATTACGCTTCTGTCAGAAGAATAGACGGGCTACTTCAACACCTTAAACAGCAAGAACTGGCAGCAAGTCTAGTGAACTGGGCACGTGGAAGCACCATGAGCATGAGCAGTATTTCTGAATAGCTGTAACACCGTGTGCAGGTGTCCAGGGCTTCTGTCGTGACCACGTGGTCTGATGCTCACCCCGCAGTGGAAGGAGATGCTAAATTCCGTTACGGGTCAGAGGTCAGAAAAAGGAAGCTGCAGTTTGTTCCCAACCAGGGGAACCTTGGACCCTTGAATTTGTCCGTGGTTAAGAACAACTCGTCCAGGAGCAGAGCGAGAGGCTGGACAGCGCGTCCTCCCCTCCTCTCCCCGCCTTCGCATCCTCCTGGCTGCCTGGCGTTTCCTCCGCGGGCCTGGCTGAACACACGCACGCACAGGCCCAGGGGGAGACCACCGTCAGCTAGGGGCTGTCAGGCTGCAGAGATACATCTTCAGTAACATCTTCTATAAAACAGTCACTATGGGCCGGGGCGGGTGGCTCACACCGTAATCCTAGCACTTTGGGAGGCCGAGGCTGGCAAACCACCTGAGGTTGGGAGTTCGAGACCAGCCTGACAAACATGGAGAAACCCCGTCTCTACTAAAAATACAAAATTAGCCGGGTGTGGTGGCATGTGCCTGTAATCCCAGCTACTCAGGAAGCTGTGGCAGAATCGCTTGAACCCAGGAGGCAGAGGTTGTGGTGAGCCGAGATCACACCATCGCCCTCCAGCCAGGGCAACAAAAGCGCAACTCCATATCAAAAAAAAAAAAAATAGTCACTATGAAATGATGGTGACTGGACAGTGGCTCCAAGCGGTTGGTGTCTTTTGCAGAGATTTCCACTGTGTCCATCCTCCGCAGCCAACTCCATGTGAGGCAAGACGGACCCTCAGCGAGTTGGGGCTCCCAGCAGGTGCAGCCTGCTGCCTTCTCCCCACATCTGCCACCAAATGAACCTGCCCCCTTTCCCAGCAACCCCAAGAAAAGCCTCAGGACCTATCAGGAGAGGAAGAAGCTGTCCATATAGAGAGAAGGAAGGGATATCCCTTCTCATTCCCCACATGGCCTAGCCTGGGTGGAAGCCCCATTTCCCTGGCGGGGAGGAGCCCTCTCCTGGCAAGGAGGCTGGTGGAAAGGGCAAAAGCATTTTGGAAGGAGCCAAGAGGAATAAAAGTGGCAGGTTGCCTGCCTTCGTTCAGACTGAGTAAGCAAGGCCACTGCCTCATCTGAAGTTACATGCACGGCACATCACTCATAAATTCACTTTTCCCAGCTTCTCTATAAGGTCTGTTAGCGAGCAGACCATCCAACTGCGGGCCACAGCTCTGCATGGAGAATCCGTTTGTTGGCGAGTCGTCTTCAAACCCAAAGAACAAGGCAAACCCAACCCCCAAGGAACCCAGATGAGTCCTTATTTCCCCATTTCATTCTTAAAAAAATACTTCTCCCAGGTTCCGGCAGAGTGCTGTTCTCATTTTAGAAGGCGGGCTAACTGCAGGCACTAGTCATATTTCTCGGAGACGTGTCTGTTCTTTGCTTGAATGAAACTGTTCTGTTCGTTTGTTTCGCTTCCTCTTTGGGGATACCAAGGACACGAGTTCCCCTTTCCTGGTATTGGAAGTGCGTCAGCTCAAGCATGAGTAAATGAAAAGTGAAGGATAAGAGGCTGGCTCCATTGGGTGACATGCACCTGCCATGAGATGTGGGAAGCCATGGCATGTCACTGTTGCTCCTGAATTATTGCCCAACATGTCCCCAGAATGAGGGCGAGGCGAGTCTCTAAAGACATGCCCATGAGCCAGGCAGCACATAACAGAGACAAGGAAGAGGACAGAGGTCCCTTCAGGGTTTGTCACACAGAAGAAATCCAAAGGCTTACCCTAAGGACAGGGGAAAATGAAGAACACAAAGTCACTAGTCAGTGTCAGGAGGAGGGCATCCAAGTCCCCATCAGCCTGTAATGCAGCAGACTGACGAGCAGTCAGTGCCACCATCACAGCCCTGTGCTTTCTCTGCCCCCAGTAAGACTTCGAACCTTCCGAAGGATTGGGTGTGAATGATGAATAATTGCCTGTGAAGAGGACCACATCTAATCTATCAGCTTACATCTCAACATGATTCAAAAATAGATCAGCAAAAACATATATAGCAAAAAAAAAAAATGCAATGTCATCAGATGCAAATGATAACACAAGTTTCTTCCCAGGCTTAGATACACAAACAGAACAAGTGCAAGGGCTGTATACACAGTCACAGTGTGGGTGCAGATGAGACAGGAATGTCCAAGGGAGCTTCGGTTGATGGAATTCCACACAGCCTGTGAGGGAGTAGACCGCAATTTCACCCAGAACCACAAATGAGCCTCCTAGTGTCAGTTACCTTCTTTTTCAAGAATGACACGCCAAGCTCTAATCCCCCCTCACCGAGTCTTTACGAGCTTAAAGTAACTCCATTTTAAAATCTGTCCCTTTTAGACATTTTGCCAAGTCCCTTGCTCTCTGTTAGAAAAGGCACATTTCGTGCTGACTATTCCCATGTCCCCCGAGTCTTCTTTTCATCCCAAAAGCTGGGAACTTTCTACTTCGACCACCAGAGCTTCTCTGGCAGGTGATTTTCCCTGCTAGTTTCTTTGGTGTCATCTCTTTAAAAACCAACAGTATGGCCAGGCGCCGTCACCCACACCTGTAATCCCAGCACTTTGGGAGGCCAAGGCGGGCAGATCACAAGGTCAGAAGATCAAGACCATCCTGATTAACATGGTGAAACCCCACATCTACTAAAAATACAAAAACTAGCTGGGTGTGGTGACTTGTGCCTGTAATCCCAGCTCCTCGGGAGGCTGAGGCAGGAGATCACTTGAATCAGGGAGGCGGAGGTTACAGTGAGCAGAGATCGTACCACTGCACTCCAGCCTGGGCGACAGAGCAAGACTCCGTTAAAAAAAAAAAAACAGTATATGAACTCAGGACATGAGTTTTGAACTCAGGACACTTGTGTGATGCAGTAACAGGCAGAGTGAGGGGCAGCAGTGGGCACGCGAAGGGGTTAAGGGAAGTCCTGAGTGTTTCCCATTTTCTCATCTGGGCTGCTGAGATTAAGGAGATAAATGCATATAAAGCACTGCCCATGCTTTCTGGCCCAGCTCGGGGCTCTAACTATTGGTTGCACCCATGCTGAGGACTAACCTCAGCCCAGGCAAAGGCTGGAGGCGGCCCACCCAAAAGCAGATGCTTCCCAAGGCCGGGTCACTGCACAAGAGCCAAACGCATGCACCGGATGAGATCGTATGCAATTGGAGGGGACCTGCTCTCCTGAAAAAGTCACCCTGAAAGTTCTCATTGGCCAGATCTGAAGGTGTTGAGGTTGGAACCAACAGCAAAGAGGCAACCGCAGACCTTGGTTGCCGGAGAAGTCACTGTCTTTTCCAAGCAGCAAAACCACACACGAGTCCCTTGGAGCTCGTCTGGAAGCCTCGAAATCTCACTGCCAACAAAAATGTTTCCCCTCGAATTATAGCACAGACTTCAGAGGGGAGGGAATTTAATGCACAGAACCACCCACCAGGGAAGGACAGCAGAAAAAATGAGAGGTTCAAGAGCCACATGGTGAAAAGCGCCCACGGAAAAATTGTGACATTAAATAGTAAACTGCAAAGGATTTGAAGCCCAGATAAACACCATGAGCTAACGTCAGCCAAGGAGAGTGGGATTCAGTCAATGGAAACAGGCAAACACTTCAATCAATGTTCATAAACAGGCCTTTTCATCCTTCCCCCAGAGGAAGAAACTTGAGGGGCACACGGCCCACAAGGTGAGGAGACTGCGGCTGACTTGAAGTCTTTGGCCAACTCTCCAGGCTTCTGGCAAGTAGACACTATGCCGGGGGGGCAGAGAGGTCCGGCCAGCAGCCAAGCCCACCCAGGTCTCGCCAGCCGGGTATGGGTCATCTGCTGTTTCTGATGTGACAGCTGAAACTCCCAGGGACTTCTTTTTTCACACAGCCTTTACCTACTGTTCTTTGAAAGTGAACTTTTGTTTTTGGATTCTTGAACATCTGAAGGAGAATCCCACCACAAAAGCCTCCAGGTAACAGGCGTTCCACATGGAGGGGGCAGCACGGGAGAGATGGGTGTGTCCAGAAAGCCCCAGGGCCCCGTGCTGGAGCTTGGGAACCATGGAGGAGGTAGCAGGCCAGGAAGCACAGGAGCCCGTGGGCAGACCTCAGGCTGCACGTGCCAGGCTAAGGGAGTGAGTCTCACCCAGGGTGAGCCCCAGGTGGTGAGCCCGTGTCCTCTGAGCCTGTTTGCAAGCCATGGTGCTGCACCGAACTCCCTGTGGAGGCCCCGCGCTGTGAAAAGGAATTGTTCACAAGTCGAGATAAGTATTAGCCCAAGGATGTCATGCTCCAAGCAGAGCAGGGACCCAGTGTCATGGACCAGTTCATTCCCTCCCTGCAGCAGTTAGAAAAAGGGATGGAATGAACTCCCGATGCCATTATGTCAAACACCAAGACATAATGAAGTCTGCCAAGGTGGGTTCTTTCTCCCACTTCCTAACTTCAGCCTCTTACTCCCCACAGCCTCCCTGCCCCGGGCCTGCGTGGGACCCTCCTGCTGACCCCTCCCTCCCATCTCCTCTGTGCTGCCTCCCCGATGCCCAGGCCTGTCCCACATCCCAAGGCCTCTCTGGAATCTGTTTCCTCTGCCCTGCATCTTTCAACTCAAAGTTCATCTGATCAGTTTATTCCTCCGCCAAGGCCAGGACTCCTGCTGCCTTTGAAAGCCACATGTGCTTTTTTTAGAAGATGACCTTTGGAAAAAAAACAATTTGTTCCTTTGCCTTTGGCCTTAACATGACATTAGGGAAGTGAGAAGCACAGCTGGGCAATGAAGTGGAAGCAAACGTTGAGGGGAACTGAGAAAGACTGAGAAGGTTCACATCATAAGCAGTGAACATGCCAGGACGCTTTCCCCGCTGGCAACGGTGGCCTGGGCCGCCCTGGGGGCTGCATGCCTTTGAGGTCAAAAAGCTAGATCCACTGGTGGCAGCAGTGGTCCCCAGTCCACACTCAACCCACATCGCAATGGCCACCATTAGACACTCGTTCCAAAGCAAAGTCAGCCCGCCCACAAATTCAGCCCCCTCCGACGCTGCTCTTCATCCATGGGGCAAGGATGTCTCACACACGCAGAGATTGCTGGTGTGATTTCTCCAACCCGAACTGCAGGTCATTGTCAGCATTTCGAAGTGTCGATGAAGGAATCGCCTTCATTGAAAAACAAAACCAGTAGAACCTGCCTTTTGCCCTTATGCCCTCCCTTGCAGAGGCCTTCCTGTTAACCAGCGTTCCTGCCACCATGGCGTCTCATTTGCATCTGTTCTTCATCAGAAGCAGAAGTGTCAGCCCTTTTCCACTAGGGCCAGCAGGTCACTTCACCTGGAAACAGAGCCATCAGGGACACCCGGCAATCCTTCCTCCTAATTACAGCGTCCTCGCTAACCACTCCAGGATGGCCCCTGAGTAACTGGGGTGAAAATCGAACATAACCCTGTCTGGAGATCTTCCGCATTCACCTAAGCCAGGGCGCAGGAATGCAGGTGTCTCTGACATTATGCTGCCATGCCCTCTGCTGCACACTGATTTGCAAAGTGAAAACGATCCTCAGTACAAAACTGTCTCCATCTGCAACCTGCAGGGAAGATCAAAAGAGGCAGGGCGACAGACTGAGCAGTCCTGCAGAGGGAAAGGGAGCTTCTCAGGGAGGGGCAGCCCAGTGGCCGGCACGGGCACAGCATGGCATAGAATTTTTAAGTCCCAGTTTGTCATGTCCTCTCTACAAAACCTAACTCTTGATCCATGTGATAACATCCTCACATGACTGTTCCCACCTCGGGTTCTCAGAAATCTGTCCGTGCTGGTGTGTGACTGAGACTAGAGTCACTGGCTAGAGGCCAACACAGCACACATTCACCCAAATTGTCCTTGCCAGCAGCAGCCCTGCATGATGACGCTTGGTGAAAACTGACCCAGCCCCACACCGGAAGGCTTTGTGTGTCAGTTACCCCTAGGAAAAGGACAGGGTCAAAAGTCATCCCAAGAGGAAATGTGGCCCCAGCACCCAAGGCCTCCTCTCTCTGTCTCCAGGAAACTCTCATCTAACAAATCAGATATTAGCACCATGAACCCTGAGTGCCGCTTAACCTCTGAACTTATCAAACAACACCAGCAAATAGTCATTTACTCCTAGGTTACCCAAGGGTAGCTAAAAGAGAAAACGGATGAAAGAACAGCTTTACAGGATCTTGGTGGACATTTTATGGGCATATTTACTTGTTGGCGTCTTTACGGCTTTTCCCTGAAGACTGTCATTACGGTAACAGATGGCTTCATCCTTAACTGCTCAGTAAATAAAACGGCTTTAAAATTTTTTTATCAGTCTCTTTTAGGTTTCATCTCAATTATCTTAGGAAAAAAGGTCTCTGTTGCACTGACTAGGATTTTTAAACAGATTAATTGGCTATGATAAATTTTTCAAAGTTAGACTCAAAATTCACAAAACATGTAATCCTAGCCAGAGCAAATGGTGGCTTCCTGGAAAGGTGCCTGACTTTCTCAGAGGCTCTCAGCATTTGCTGTTACACTTTTTTGCTTTTATAGGGAGGGGAAGCAGCACGTCTTCCACCACTTGCAAAGAACTGCTTTCCTTGGTAACCTGGGGCTGTGCCTGCCCCTTGATGGATCTGTCAGAAGGAAGTGCCCTGTCTCAGTGTGCAGGATGACGCATAATTCTTTTGCCTGCCTAGAGCACCTAGCAAGGGCTGAGCTTTCCCTCTTTCATTCTTTTGTTCATTAATGCATCCAGCAAGATTTATTGAGGGCTTATCTTTGCCTAGTACTACACTAAGTGCTCTGAATACAGTAGTGGCCTCCACGAAGTCCCTGCACTCATGGAGCTCACATGCTAGTGACACAGACCAAATCATACATAAATACAGGAGTCCCCACTCCCTGGGCCACAGCCTGGTACTGGTCTGTGGCCCTGTTAGGAACTGGGCCACACCGGAGGAGGTGAGCAGCAGGTGAGCGGACATTACTGCATAAGCCCCGCCTCCTGTCAGATCAGCGGCATTAGATTCTCCCAGGAGCGCAAACCCTGTTGCGACCTGGATCTAGATTGCACGGAGTATGAGAATCTGATGCCTAGTGATCTGAGGTGGAGCTGAGGCAGTGATACTTACTCTGGGGAGCAGCCACAAATACAGATTCCTGTTAGCCAAGAAGTTTGACTGCACAGAAACTATAATAAGCCAACTGCTCACGGACTCCTATCAAAACCTTCCCCGTGAGCAGCAAGCCATGGTTAAGCTGCAGGCTTCGTGGTGGCAAGTGAGCTGATGCACTTCAATTGTACATCTGCAGTTGGTGGCCTTCAAAGTATCTCTGAGACAACTGCACATCTCCATATGCTCTGGATTAAAGTCGAGGTGAAATATCCTGAGGTTGCCACAAAAGCACTGGAAAGCCTGCTTTCATTTCCAACATTCTGTCTTTGTGAAGCAGGGTTTCCTGCAGTGACAGCAACCAACACAAGATCACAAAGTAGACTGGACATAAGCAGTAGCACACTTCTCCATCACCTGTCCCTGTCTCCATCACCTGTCCCTGTCTCCATCACCCCTAGATGGCACCAACTGGTTGCAGGAAAACAAGCTCAGGGCTCCCACTGACTCTACATTATGGTAGTTGTATGATTATTTTATTATATATTACAATGTAATAATAATAGACATAAAGGGCAAAATAAGTGTAATGCACTTGAATCATCCCAAAACCATCCTTCACACTGTGGAAAAAAATTGTCTTCCATGAAGTTGCTCTCTGGTGCCAAAAAGACCTTTCACATCAGGTAGTGAAGAAAAATCATGCCATGGAAAAAGACAGATAGAGCCGCGGTCAGGTTGAGAGTCAGCAGAGAAACCTCTCTGAGGACCCTGAATTTGGGCAGAGACCTGAATGAAGTGACGGAGGAAACCAAATAAATACCTGGGAAGATTTTTCTAAAGGGAACAGCAGTCCTGACCACAGAATAAGTGTGTTGTGTTCAAGGAGCCTCCAATAAAGAAGGTTAAAGAAACAAGGTAGCAGGTGGTGAGAAGTGAAGCTAAAAAGATAGGGCCAGGTCCTGTAGTTTTTGCCAGCCATTCTCAGGAAATTGGATTTGATTTTTTTTTAAGGCGGTTTTTCCCTCTGTCTCTGGTGGGCAGCAGGTTTAGTATAATGCACTTAAGTGTGGATTTCCTCATATGTGTCTTGCTTGGGGTTCAGAATCCTTTTGGAATATGTTGTTTAAAGCCTGTGATCTGTTTTGGAAAATTTTTCATCATTATATCTTCAGATACTATTTCTGTCTCACTTTCTCCCTTCTTCTCCTTGTTAGACCTTTTATTTTGCATCCTTATGTCTCTGGCTCTTTTCTGATTTCTTTACTCTGTGCTTCTCCTAGATATTTTTCTTATTCCAGTTCACTAATTTTCTCCTCAGCTGTGTCTAATCTGTATTAAACCTTGGGACCTGAATTCAGTATTTTTTTTTCATTTCTAAAATTTTCTTTTGATTATCTTTTATAGTTTCTAGTTCTCTAACAGAATCCCCAACTTGTATTTATCTCCTTGACCGTGTTAAGCATGGTTATTTTAAATCCACTAATTTAAACCTATGTCTCTCTATCAGCATTTGTCTTGTCTCTTCATGCACCAGGTTATTTTGTTGAGTGCCAGACATTATATATGAAATACACAGAGATCTAGAAAAACGTTACCTTTTTCCAGAGATAAATTACACTGACTTATGTCTGGAATCTATGGACCCTAACAATCCCTAACCTCCTTAATCCAATCTGGGGTTGAACGAATTCAAAGGTGGGCTTAATTTATTACAAAGGCCAGACTATTTCAGGTCAATCTTTACTCCTAGACTGTACCCTTATGTGGTTTTCCCAACCCAAATACTGAGGTAGTTGCAGGGAAGGGGACTCCAGGTCTCAAGTCCTTGCAGATCCTGAATGCCAGTGTCTGTTTTCCTATCCCTGTTGTCTATCAACAGCTCTATTAGCTTCTCACTCTCTCAGCCAACAATTCTGGAAAAAGAGTACCTAGGGGAGAGTGGTCACAAATGCTGGCTCACCTACCTGTATTTTATTTCTTTCCCAGATCTTGTCCCTAAAATTCTTCACTGCCTTGTGAACTGTCCAGTGCCTTCAGATATTTTTAACATTTTCTTTTTTTCTAGCTATTCTCAGGAGAAGGATTGGCTTTTATTCTATGTGTGCATAACAAAATGTTTGCCAAAATAACCCAAATTCTCCAACCCTCCTTCTACACACACACACACACACACACACACACATTACTATTGGGGCTCAGAAGACAATATGCCAAACTATGGTACTTTAAAATGATGAGCATACCTTAATTAAGGAAATTGGAAAGCCTCAAAAGCTACCTCAGAACCACGGACTTTCTATCCTTCTCTTGTTTCTCTCCACAATTGTCCCCTCTCCACAACCACCAAATGCAGGGAGGGGTTCTCTCTGGAAGTTTCGTATTTGATTGAGGAAACTTCTTGCTAAAAGAAATTCAATTGTCAGCAGGGTGCAGTGGCTCACACCTGCAACCCCAGCACTTTGGAAGGCTGAGGTGGATGGATCACTTGAGGTCAGGAGTTCAAGACCAGCGTGGCCAACATGGCAAAACTCTCTCTCTGCTGAAAATACAAAAATAACCAGGTGTGGTGGCACATGCGTAAAATCCCAGGTACTTGGGAGGGTGAGACAGGAGAATTGCTTGAATCTAGAAGGTGGAGGTTTCAGTGAGCCAAGATTGTGCCCCCACTGCTTGGGCGACAGAGTGAGACTCCATCTCAAAAAGAAAAAAAAAAAGAAATTCAATTGTCTTAAACTCCCTCCATAGAAATCTTATCGAACCACCAAGAAAGAGTAACCCCTAGAGAAGAGACTCAGACTCTCCACAGCCAGACAAAGGTTCCATGCATTCTACAGGCAGCTGAGAGATTACCTGAGGATGTAAGAGGATGCCTTTGCTCACAGGGCAGCTCCGCCCCTCCATTCCTATAACCGTCCACAAGCTGTTGTTCGTCCTTTGGTCTCATTCAGCTTCCAAAGAAAATAATTTGCAAACTGTTGTCTGGTCTTCAGGCCCATTCCTGCACCCTAAAAATCACTACCCTCCAAAATTGCCTGCAGCTCCGCACTTCCCTCCCTGTTATGACAAGGGTATCAAAGCTTCAACCATCTGGCCTTTCGTTGATCCTCATATTTTGCGTGGCTCCCAGGCTAATGCATGTTAATAAATATGCCTGCCTTTCCTCCTGTTAATGTGTTATTAGTTCAGATCAGTGAACGGTCAAAGGAAAGAGGAGAAGCTTCCTTCTTCAACCCTACGTTATAAATTGTAAACATGTTCTGTTTTAATAATATATTATGTACCCTAGAAAATGTACGATGTGCCCATTATTAAACAGATAGAAGGATGGGAATGAGTAAATACAAATGGAAGGTTTAATGGTTTCTGTACCGCCACACTCTGAAGACCTCTGGTCCAGGAACACTTGTGGGACTGGAGAGGTAACTATGTGGGGCAGGTGGACTAGGCTAGAGGTGGTAAGAAGTGCCTAATTCAGAATGTGTTCTGAAGGTAGAGTTCAAGAGGTTCGCTGATGAATTGGATGGGGGTGTCAAGGCAGGAGAGGGATCGAGGATGAATCCTGTTTCTGGCCATTGACTGAGATGGGAAGGATCAAGCTGTGCTGGGGATCGAGAGTCTTTGGACCACACTGGCATATTACAGACCCCGAAATCCAAGTCAGCCTCGGCTTTTTCGCCAAAGATCCCTTCCATTCCAGAAGGGAGCTCCCCAGGGACACAGCAGAGGGTATGTGTCCTCACGAGGGCGGGATCGTTTGTCAAGGAAAGAAACCACTTCTCTCTAACTGAAATTGAACTCATAAGAAAGTTGTATAAATTTAAATTCCAGCTCTTGCAAAAACCCTGCTCAAACTCTTCCCACCACTTTCAAACTGTGTTAGCAACAGCTTTAGTGCATCTGGATGTTTCCCAATCTGAGCTGTTCAGAGTATCTGATCTATAAGTAAATACCTATCGTGTGGCAGAGGAGGAGGAAAAGCTGGAGAGCAAGGAAGAAGGAAGAAGAGAAGAAAGAAGGAAAGAGAGAGAGAAAAAAGAAGAGAAAGAAAGAAAGGGGGAAGAAAAAAGAAAGAAGAAGGACAAAGAAAAAAAGAGGGAGGGGGAGGGAGGGGAGGAGAAGGAAGAAGAGAGAGAGAAGGAAAAGAAGGAGGAAGAGAGAGAGAAAAAAGGAGGAAGAGAGAAACAGGAAAAAGAGGAGGAGAGAAA